ATGTTGAAGTCAAAGTATATGTCCATTTTGTTCGCCCCTTCTGCCAAGCTTATTATCCTGTCAAAACAAGAAACCAAGTAAGCTTGACATGCTTTATTTTTATGAATCCTTGCTGTCTCCTTCATATTACTGTCCACAAAGGGCATGGAGATGGTTTGCCTTATTGCTCACTCTTGTATCATGACTAGTTTTGAAAACAAACAGAGCTTCTAGCCTTTCTCTTGTCTCCTCTTTACGTAGGAAGAAAAAGAAAGAACGCTGCTTCATCTTCTGTCAAGGCAAGGAGTTCAGCAATGTGTGTGGACACCTGAAAGTGATGTTTACCCTGAAAAAGGTATTGCTCTGTTATTATTTAATTTTTTTAATTGTTTATCACTCGGGAGGAAGGGCAGGATATAAATCAGGTTAATTAATTAGTTAAAAGATAAAAGAGAAAGGCACATGTCTAAACAGATTTGAATGTCAATTTCATTGCTCCGAAATGAATGTATAACCCCCTAGCTTGCCGTTGCTTTGACAAACCATCAAAAATCTCAAAAGTGCAATGCTGCAGAAAGGTTTAGAGAGTAACTTTAGATGAGTAACTTCTTTCAGTAGTCAGCTTTATGTGCCAGAATGTTAAATATTCCTTTGACTTGTTTGTTTTCAAGGCACACCCCCAGCTTAGGGCTTTCCTTCCTCACAACCAAGTAGAACATGAGCTAGTTGCATTTTATACTTTCCGGGATGCTCCTGCACATCCCTGAAGCACATATTTTACCCACCCAGAACTTCCACAAATTGGGTATAGCTGCCGAAAGCAAGTAATTGATTTCATTCAGGTACATTTTGACATAAACAGAAGGTAGCTTGTGGGTCTTTTAAAATACTGCATCAGCTAGATGTCCCCAGGTTCCTTCGCACAACTCTCATTTCTTCAAAAACCCACACATTGTTGTAGCTGGAGTTTATGTCTGATATGATACAGCCAAAATCTCTTGGACGCACCTGTGAAAGATCCTCTTATTTGTTCCTTTTTCTTCTCAGGTATTGATTCATCTGATAGCAATTTACATTTCAGGAAGAAAACCAAACTAAGTAGGCACTGAACAATTCAGTTGGCTTCGTATTTTTCTATTCAGACTCAACTTTCCCATTAATCAGGAACCCAACTGTTTCTTTTGACTTTTCTACACACTTGTAAGAACTCCACTTATTTCTAACCCTGCTGCTAGTTTAGATCATTTTGTGCCTCCACGTTTCTGATTTTAATCATGCATGCTGTACTAGCCCTTTATTCACATTTGTAGTGACAAGCCATTCCTTCCACTTCTGTATATGTGCCTACTGGTTTTCAGGATAACCAATATATCCTTACTCATCTATCGCCTTTATTGTGAATCTTCTTATCTTTTCTTTGTATCAGAACAGCTTGCAAAATCTCTTTGATGATATTTCCTGAAGAAACCACAAGTTTCTTCAAATTATATTGCATTATTTCCTCTCTCTCTCTCTCTCTCTCTCTCTCTCTCCACCCACTGGAGTTTTCCTTCCTTCCTTCCCTCCTTTCCCAAACATCTCTATTTCTAAAGTTTGCTTTCTCTCCGTGTTGGTGATTTAGAACTAAGTTCTTCATGAACATTATGAGCAAGAGTGATGATAATGCTTAATTTGCAGAGTTTTTACTACATGGCCCCAATAACCTTCATATGAGGGGAAAACACTTCTAGTTATACAAGCTCCACCAAATTCTCCATGTTTCCTTACACACACATTCTGTTTCCAATGTCAAAACAACTTGGCTGGCCTTGGTTGAGATGAACCTTGAGGTGAGGCGAGGTGGCGAGACCTTTTGCTGCTCTTCCTCAGGCAGCAAGGTGTCTTGGGCAAGCCCTGGGCAAGACCTGCAGCTCAGTGGCAGAGCATCCGTTTTGCATGCAAGAAGGTCAATCCCCTGGAACTCTAGGTAGGGCTGGGTGAAACTCCTACTTGAAACCCTGGGGAGCTCTTGCCAGTCAGTATAGTCTTGAACTACTTGGAACAATGGTCTGACTCAGGATGGGGCAGCTTCCTATGTTCCCTGCTACACACAGATACACAGCTCTCTGTGCTGAAGGATCCCCAAACCTTAAAAGAGACTTTTCAGAGCATGGAAGACTGCAATGGGAACAGTTAGCAAAAAATGCTCCACTTTGTGAGCAAGACTTCACTCACAGTAAGCTTTCACATCGCTATTGTTTAGGGAAGTTTTTATTGACTGATGTTTTAATGTATTTTTAATCTTTTGTTGGAAGCCACTCAGGTGGTAATAATAAATTATTATTATTATTATTACTACTACTCACCCCGAGCCTTTGGGTTGGGTCTGGGTGAACTGTTAAGTCTAATCAACAGATTAAATAGATATAGCATGCAATCTATCAATTCTGCAAAGTTTTATAAGTTCTGTTTTCCTTATGGGCTCTCTGAAATAAAGGATAAGTTTGTCAGGCATCAACCTTCAAAGCGTCCTACCATCTCAATTCCATTCATTTCAACTCTGAATTCTGAGGGTAGTCTTCAGACATACCTGTATTACATCTGCAATCATACTGAAAATCAATAACAAGAGAATTTGAGGTTCAGCTGGCGAACGCATCCTGACAGGCTTACTTATGGTAGATCCTGGGGAAAGCTACGTTGGCAGCTAAGTGTTTAAAATGAAACCACAGGCCAATTTTGCCAGTCTAGTACAGAACTGAAAGTCAAGGAAACATGTCAGAGGCATGACTGAGGACCACTTGGCCACCAGGCATCCTGAGGTAAGTGGGACCCAGAAATCCAGTTCTATCAACACTACCTTATGCACAGTGGTAAATTGCTATTGTGAGCACAAGCAAGAATTACTGCATTCATCGTGGAGTAACTGGTGTGTGTTTTCTCTCTTTGAACAGCTGACACACACTCCTTTAATGCCACATTGTAGGCAAGGTGTTGGAGTTGGTGATGGTGGTGTGTTAACTCAAGGTGGCCTTGGATGGCGCCAATTATTTGGAACCAATCCCAATCTGGGTTCAGGCCTGGTTTTGAAACAGTAACACCCTTGGTCACCCAGATGGCTTACACTGAAGGATGGCTGTGGAAGTGCTACCCTACTGGTTCTCCCGGATTTCTTAGTCGTATTTGCTGCCACCAACAATGGTATCCTTCTGGATCATCTCTCTTGGTTGGGCTTACAAGGCACCATTTCCATTATTCTATGGAAGCATGTAATTCTCAGAATATGGTGCTGGGAGACATTGGCTTACTGAGTTACACAAGGAGTTTATACTGTTGTCCATAATTTTTAGTATTTGCATCTGCTCACACACTATGATATACAATGGAGACTTTCCACCTAGATCAGCAAGATTAGCAGATATGAGAGAGAAGGCCTTTCCATGGTGGCCCCACAGTTCCTGAACTCTCTGTCACTAATACACTGCAATACAAAAAACACATTTTTAGCTGAATTTAAATAATAAGCAAAGCTAGATATTGGCTTCTTGGCCGTAACACTTGGTAGCAACATTTTAGAATTAGAATAGAATTGCAAATAGCAGAAAGCATTAGACAGGCTTGCCACACCCTTCCAGTAGCCAAGGGGAAGGTGCTGTTATAAGCCAATTGGCACCAGGGCTGACCTAAGGCATTTTGCTGTTGAGGTTAAGGACAAACACACACACCCCCAAACACACACATTCCACATTTGAAGACTGCCTGGAATGGCAATTGAATCTTATTTAAACACTGGGATAGTATCTTAAATACAATTTCCTAAATACAATTTAGCAAGTATAGAGAAGGCATAAATAGCTCTGTCTTCCAACACCTCACCACAGCCTCCCAGAATCTTATTGAGCCACCTGCCTCATTCTGCCTAGGCAGAACTGACCTTGATTGGCACAAACCACTCTTTGCTATCAGAGCTACAAATATCTACAGGACTGGGATTGTTCACTCTCACAGCAAGTGAAGAACCGATTTAACTATGTATGTATGTATGTATGTATGTATGACATGCCTGTTGGGAGTCAGGAAACCGGCCCCCCCAACCAGATTATCTCCTATCTGACATGAAAAAGCTGTGAGGCACTAATAATATATAAGGAATGAATAGTAAGAGTTCTGTGTAGCCTGACATCTTTTGGTAAGCTAGACAGACAAATCACTCTATGTCAGTTCAAGACACACAATTTTGCTTTTTTAAAAAAAGAAAGAGAAAAACACACAAGTCAAAGTTTGCTGCAAAGTCTAATAGATTGGAAAGACTACATAATATGCCATTTTCAACTGCAATTATTGTTCACAACTAGGGTCTAAACATTCAGCCTTTCCGCTCACCTGAGTGCCCTGAATTTTTGGGTTAATGCTAATGCAAAGGAACGTCTCTGGGGAAATGTTCGGAAGGCTTCAGTTCTCATTCATGCAATGCATTAGAGATAAACTCATTCCTGTGGCCATTTCACTGTTAAGTGGCATGCTGAATGCAGCTGGGGACTGTAGAAATTGGGACATTTATTTTAGTATCCGACGGAATAATCCTCACAATAATTTTTGAGATAGAAGTGTCAGCACTAGGGGATTCTTACTGTGTAATGAACAACAGTTACATAGGCAACCTAAAGGCTCACAACATCCTTCTTTTCCAAGGAGGTGGCATATCTCCCTCCATCCATATGCCCCCCAAATCTGCTTCAGTGGGTTGGTGTCGGTGTGTGTGTGTTGCGTGGGATGCTGCAATGGGAGTGGAATCAGCAAAAATCGCTCCCCTCCTTGTTCCACTGACTGAAGCCTCTGCTGGATTAAAAAGTATTACGCCATCATAAGGAAGACCACTGGATATAACCCAAAGATTTTGGAGCACCCCTCCCTTACCCATGGATCTCAAAGATACATAGGAAGCTGTCTTATATTGAATCAAATCATTGGTTCATCTAGATCCCTTTTGTCCATACTGGCCATACTGGCTTTCAGGCAGAGAGTTTGCCCTATGTTCTACCCAGAGATGCCAGGGATTGAACCAGGGACCTTCTGCACGCAAAGCAGATGCTATACCATTGAAATATATCCCTTTCCCTAAATGGCTGGAACTGCATTGAATTCGTACACATACTTATAAAAGCTAGCTGGGAAGGGCTGGGCGATGGGCTTCGTGGGGTGGTGAATGCTTCCCTCCATGAGGGAGCCTTCCCAGACCCGCTGAAAGAGGCGGTTATTAAACCGCTTCTTAAAAAAACATATTTAGATGCTGCCAATATGCCCAACTATCGCCCAGTCTCAAATATTCCATTCTTGGGCAAGGTGATTGAGCGAGTGGTTGCTGAACAACTCCAGACACGCCTGGAAGAAGTGGATCATTTGGATCCCTTCCAGTTGGGATTCAGGCCTCATCATGGGACTGAAACTGCCTTGGTCGCACTGGTTGATGATCTCCGGCGGGCTAGGGACAAAGGTGAGAGCTATTTCCTAGTTCTGCTGGATCTCTCAACGGCTTTTGATACCATCGACCATAACATCCTTCTGGACTGTCTAGAGGGGCTGGGAGCTGGGGCACTGTTATACGGTGGTTCCGCTCCTTCCTCCTGGGCCATGTTCAGAAAGTGGTGGGGGGAATGAGTGTTCAGACCCCTGGGCTCTCACTTGTGGGGTACCTCAGGGTTCTGTCCCCTCCCCCATGTTTTTTAACATCTACATGCAGCCGCTGGGAGGGATCATCAGGGGATTTGGGCTGGGTGTTCATCAGTAAGCGGATGATACCCAGCTCTACCTCTCTTTCAAATCAGAACCAGAGAAGGCAGTGAAGGTCTTCTGTGTGAGTGTCTGGAGGCGGTTGGAGGATGGATGGCAGCTAACAGATTGAGGTTGAATCCTGACAAGACAGAAGCACTGTTTTGGGGGGACAGGAGGCGGGCAGGTGTGGAGGACTCCCTGGTCCTGAAAGGGGTAACTGTGCCCCTGAAGGACCAGGTACACAGCCTGGGAGTCATTTTGGACTCACAGCTGTCCACGGAGGCTATTCTGTGTCCAGGGCAGCTGTTTACCAGCTCCATCTGATATACAAGCTGAGACCCTATCTGCCTGTGGGGCTACCTTTGAAGGTGACCCAGAAACTACAACTAATCCAGAATGTGGCAGCTAGACTGGTGACTGGGAGCAGCCGCCGAGACCACATAACACTGGTCTTTAAAGACCTGCATTAGCTCCCAGTACGTTTCTGGGCACAATTCAAAGTGTTGGTGCTGACCTTTAAAGCCCTAAACGGCCTTGGTCCAGTATACCTGAAGGAGTGTCTCCACCCCAATTGCTCCACCCGGACACTGAGGTCCAGCGCCGAGGGCCTTCTGGCGGTTCCCTTGCTGCAAGAAGCCAAGTTACAGGGAACCAGGCAGAGGGCCTTTTCGGTAGTGGCGTCCGCCCTGTGGAATGCCCTCCCATCAGATGTCAAAGAGAAAAACAACTACCAGACTTTTAGAAGACATCTGAAAGCAGCCCTGTTTAGCGAAGCTTTTAATGTTTGACAGACTATTGTATTTTAATATTTTGTTGGAAGCCACCCAGAGTGGCTGGGGAAACCCAGCCAGATGGGCAGGGTATAAATAAATAAATATTATTATTATTATTATTATTATTATTATTATTATTCCCTTGTTTTGCTAGCTATCATACTGGCTCAGTGCACATTTGCCTAATAAAAGACGAGGCAAGCAACATTTCATACCATAGGTTATCAGGAGAGTTGTGAGCAGTCAGTCATTTGCCGTCAAAGGCAACAGTCTGCCAGCAGCAGTTTCAGAATAAGTAATCCAGAATATGACTTCTTTTTTTTAAGGAGATATGAAAATTATGTGGATGAGAAAAGCCCTGTTCAAGTGAAAGGCACTATGTAGTAATTGGGGCTGAAAATTACTGTGCTGAAACTACATATCAGAAGGCTTTAAAGAATTGATTTACTTTGACTGACATCCCCCAAATATTACATTCTTTCTCCTATAAATATGCCCTGGAGAACATAGGCACTAAAGTAACACTAAAGAAGTGCATTGGTGTGCAGGAACTTTAATATTAACACTAGCTCTTCCACAGAGTTAAGGGGGAAAGTAATATCTCAGGATTTTATATATATATATAAAATAACACCCCTTCACTTCAAAGAGTCTAGGCAGACATCAGTAACACAGACTGCCTTTGATACCATACACTGTGCTGGAATGGTCAAGTGATGGTTCAAGTGACACTTGCAAGCATACATTATTTTGTTTAGCTTATTCTGTGTTTATAGCTGCAGTTATGGTCACTGCTGGAAAGCAGGTACCTTGTGGCTATCATCCATTCTTGTGACTTCTGGGATTATTGTATTGCACTTGACATGAGACTCTCCTTTAAGAATATTCAGACATTTTAGACGGCATGGCATGCTGTGGCCTTGTTTTTTATGGATATTTTTCACAGGCATCATATGACACCAGTTATGAAACAGGTGCACTCAATACTTAGGCAACTTCTAAGCACAAATCAAAGTGCAAGCTTCAACTATATACCCCCCCCCCAAAAAAAAAGAATAAGCTCATTGAGATTTGTATCTGCTGCATCAAATTCAGTAAGTGTGAAAATTAGAACATTCGCTTACGTGGCGTCTGTTTAACTGCAGCAGCATGGGTCAGAATGCCCTGTCCAGTGAAGCCTGCTAATATCCTACACTGCCAATCTTCAGAAGATGACTGGAAACATTATTTTATTTTTTATTAAAGGTACTTCAGTTCCTATACAAACGATCTCACTCTGCAACTTCTTTGCTTGTGTGTGGATTTAGCACTTCTCTTAAATTTGCAGCACAGTCCTCAGATCAAAAGAACATACCAAAATGCATTTTAAAATGCAGAGTTTGAGTTAAAACACTTTTTTGTAATATGTACTTTGAGAGAAAATTCATTCAGAAATACATATTTAAACACAAACCTTCATGCAGTTTGTCTTCACAGATTAATGCAAGAACAAGATAGAACAGACTTGTGAGTAAACAGAGGAAGAAGTAGTAACATATCCTCGAAATAGTCTGATCCACTCATTCCTGTTTGTGGAGCTGTGGTGTTTTTAACCTTAATATTGAATTTCAGGTTTAATTTTGTTTGGAAATCTTTAAAGTTTTGCCAGCTGTCTCAATGTTCTTGGGAGGCAGGGAAGAAGAAAGGAAGAATATGAAATCTAAAATAAATGAAATGCTCCTTTCACGCGTATAACTCCCTGACATGACATGAAGCTGGTTCTTCACATTTTCTTTCCTTTTTGGCCTGTCACAGCAGGCAGCTGATTCCCTTAGGAATTATAAAGTGGCTGCAGAACTGCAATCCACTTATATGGCTTTTCTGGTACCCGAGGGCCACAAACACCTATATTTCTACAGGTATACTTAGTCTAATGGTCCTTTGACTTCCCATCTGTCTTGTTTAAACTCTTCAATTCATAAACATTGTCTGATATCACAACCTCCCAGCCAAGATTTCAGATCTGTTTCCTGCTTTTATGATATTAGCTTGGTTTGTCATAGCTATAAGGTCACCTGAGGCTGAGTTTTATGTATCTGACAAGGTGGGCTCTAGTTCGTGGAAGCTTATGCCGCAATAAATCTCTTGCTCTTAAACTGCCACGACACTTTGTTTAGGGCCATAAGGACATAGGAAATTGCCTCGTACTCAGTTAGACCAGTGGTTCCCTCATGCTCAGCATTGTGTACATACCAACTGGAAGCTACTCTCTGGAGAATCAGAATGGGGCCTCCCCCAGTCCTACCTGGAGATGCTGCGGATTGAATATAGGACCTTCTACATTCAAAGCAGATGCTCTACCACCAGGGGGAGGACCTTGGTAATATGCTGCCCTGTGCAAGGCCAACTTTTGATGCGTTATCCCCAGCCCTCCTGGTGCCAGCTTAAGCTGAGTAAACATGGCGCTGGGCTTGGGGAAGGAGGCACAAGGCTCTGGCTGGTTTTTAGAGCCTTCTTAGGACCCTGTCAGAGCCCTCATACCTCCTTCCCAAGGTTAGGCAAGCACTTACCAGGGTTTGCGATGGCACTCTCCTCAGCTGCTCACATGAGTATGGCTTGAACTTCCCTAAATCTGCCTCTGCTACCACTGAGCTATGGCCCTTTCCCTTCAGCTTTTTAAAAGACTAAGCAAACAATAACAAAGCTGCCCCCCACTGGCAGAATCTGAGGGTGACAGTCTATCTACCACCCACCCACACAAACAAACACACACACACACCAAATTCTGGGCACCCTTTTAAAAAATGATTATTTTGTTTTCTGTATTAGATGTTCAGCATAATTCACATTTATTTTATTGCAATTATTTCTGTTTATATGCTACATACCAAAACAATGCCAGTGCCTTCACCCATGGCTTTTCAATGTACACGCACATATATAAGTAGTACAATTTGTGAAGTTGTTGTTGCACTGTCAGCTATGGACCACCTGATGTTCACAAGAGTGCTTCAGATTCATGGGGCTTCATAGAAATCAACACATGAAGTATTTGTGACACATACAGAAGTGTGTGTAAACAGATATCTGAAGATCATTTATGTGGACTGGAGATGCCGAAACGATTTCTCAGAGTGTGTTTTTATTTGCACTTCTGTTTCTGTCGTATGAGAGTGGTCTAGGATGCATTTTGATACGTAAGAATGTAAGAACATAAGAGGAGTCTGCTTGATCAGGCCAATGGCCCAACTCGTCTAGCAGTGGAAGAACTCAGAATCCCTGGGTCCTCTTTGCAAAAGAGCTAGCAAAGTCAACAGAATGATCCATCGAAGAAAAGATAGCACCAGGGATAAGTGGTCACAGATAATGAGAACTTCCAGTAGAAGTCAGAGTTCAGTGGTAAATCCCCACTTACAGATTCTGACAATTTAAATGCCAAAAGCAAAGAAAACCACTCTCTGCTTAGTGAGTCTCTTGATGCAGCTGACAACAGTTGTCACCAAGGAAACCAATGCCTTGTGCAATGTAGGTAAGTATTTGATCATTCATTGCCAGTGAAAGAGCTGCAGAAATAAATAGGATTCCACCTACAGGACCAAACTGAATGGGGAGCTCTGCCATTCAGGTTTGCCAATAGGAGCTCGAAGGCTGACCCAAAAAATATCACATAATCCTCATGTCAGACTGGAAGATTGCTGTAAACATAAACCTGCTACTGTAAGACATTGCCTTCAAAAATCCACATATAAACCCAGAAAATGTTCTTCCAAGATATATCCATGCATCCATATTGATATTCACCTATTAATAAGCTGTATGATTACTTATATGTTAAATATAATGCTTATTGTTGGCTATTATTTTTTACTGTTATGTTAAAGGCAGAGGGCCTTCTCAGTGGTGGTGCCCGCCCTGTGGAACGCCCTCCCATCAGATGTCAAGGAAATAAACAACCATCTGACTTTTAGAAGACATCTGAAGGCAGCCCTGTTTAGGGAAGTTTTTGATGTTTTATCGTGTTTTTAATATTCTGTTGGGAGCCACCCAGAGTGGGCGGGGAAACCCAGCCAGATGATATGTCTTATCATGTGTTGTTTCTGTATTTGGACTTTTATTTTTCTGTGAGGTGATCTGAGCACAGATTTACTTGTGGAAAATGTGGTTTGCAAATATATTGACAATGACAATTATATCTGAAGATAAGTTAAAATCCCCAGAGAGAAGAATCTTCATGGTATGAATGGAATGATCTGAATGGAACGTACCCTTCCTATGCATGCAAAGAAGGAATTCTACAGTGCAAACATGGCAGAAGTGCATCTGCACCTTATTGGCCCAATGTGCTCACCACAAGTTCCCAGCGCAATCGCCTCTTCCACTTCGACTGCTACAGCACCATTGTCAATGCAAGTTAAATTCTAGCTTGTCATGTTGTATTGATCTAGGCTTGTGATTTGTTTCCTTCAAAACAGACCATGAGCAATAAGCAAAGAACAAACCTTGGTTACTGCTGTTAGTTTGTTTGGAAAAAGCAAACCATGATCCTGGTCTCTACACACTCGGTGTATGGGCAGAATATGAGATCAGGGCTAGTGGGTGCCAGTAACAGAAACTGACTCCATCCCTTTCACTCTGCTAAGACGCAGAAGTCAAGCACACATTACTATGCACAGCTACCTGTAGCCCAAGTCCTTTGAGAACTCTCCTTGGAAGAAATCAAAGAGTGTCACTGTTTGCCTCCCAATCAGTATATAAACTATGGGGTTAGTGAAATCCAAAAGCCCCACTAATTCTAGCTAAACCCTGGTCCCCCTTCAAGCCACCTAAAACATTAACTAAGAGATCATAACACACACAAAAATATAAGGCAGCCAGGACACCTCTGATTGCCTGTAATTTAAGCATTGCTGCCAATATGGCTTTAATATTGGCCATCACAAAAAGCTCTAAATCATTTGCTACCAATTATCCAGGGAGGACGTTTAGTAATATACAATGGGGGAAATCCTATTACCAAGCTGTTGCACAAAATACACCACATCAGCCAGCAGGCAACAATCCAGTAGTATATTTTGGAACCTGCATTTCAGTCTCAGAAAGAACCAATTTGGGTACAACAGGGTAAGAAAAATATCACTGAGCTACATTTATAAGCTATTTTGAAATATATATACACAGAGACACATATTTAAAATAAAATAAAGCAAGCTATTAAAAACTACAAATTGACAGCTGGTAAAAGTATTAAAGGCTACTTTTAAAACTTAACAGCATCATGCAACAGAATCTAGAGAGCACTATATAGACTACCTCTAGATTATGTCACTACGCATTTGTTACTTTTTAAGATGCTAGTTTATATTTTGCTGTTTTTGCTGTAACAGACAGACAGTGCTGCCCCAGTTTACACACACACACACACACACACACACACACACACACTTTTGAGCACTAGCTCAAAAAGAGTTAGCTTCTAAGCACCAGCAGAAAACTTCCTTCTAAAGTGGCAGTCTTGGGTTTTTGGGGGTTTCTTTTAGTCCACTAAACTGCCTGGGAAGTTATATTTCAAAAGAACATGCTAAACTAATTCATATGTTAAGCCCTCTCAGTACTTCTGCAGCTACTACCTATCTCTAATGTCAGCATATTATTAATGACTCAGTAGAAAACACTTTGCCAAGGAAGGTCATCATTCATACGCAATTTCAATAAGGTTGACCAAAGTACATTGAAATTGCTTTCTCTCCTCATGGATCTGGTCCTTATAAGGGTGAATAGCATGCAGGTTGCTGCAATCATGTAAGGCACACTTTATCCTATTTGTGCTGAAAATAGTTCCGCAGGAACTAAAACTCATTGCTCCCTTCTTAATTTTTTTCCTTGCTCTTAATTTAAGGGGAGGTCACATCTTCCCTGGGGAACCTTGGCCTCATGGCTTGAGAACCTGTTTATTGGCCTCTCTGCACTTTAAAAAGAAGCAGCAGATACTGTATTTATAACTACATTAGAAAAGAAACCTTTTAACCTCTGTATTACTATTTTCACTGAAATATGATAACCAAGGGGGAGACAGAATTCTACGCTTAAAACAAACCAACAAACCAGAAAGGACAAAACTGTGGCAGCATAAATTTATAGGTAAGAGCTTCTACTCTCTGCACCATCCTTTTAATGTGTTCAGTAAATGTGCAGCTGCTACTCATTTGTTGCATGGAATCTGTGCTCCTAAACATTCGGAAGAACTTCCTGACAGTAAGAGCTGTTCGACAGTGGAATTTGCTGCCAAGGAGTGTGGTGGAGTCTCCTTCTTTGGAGGTCTTTAAGCAGAGGCTTGACAACCATATGTCAGGAGTGCTCTGATGGTGTTTCCTGCTTGGCAGGGGGTTGGACTCGATGGCCCTTGTGGTCTCTTCCAACTCTATGATTCTATGATTCCTTTCTCATATATGTCTGCTCCCCAGCCCAAAACAAATGTGTTCAAACTACAGCATTTTATCACTAGGAAAAGGCAAGTCAAATAGCACATCCACTGTTATTTAGAATCCTCGGCATTCCTTAAAGATCCCCTTTGTATATACCCAACAAGTAATATTGAATCTGGGTTGATTCCTGTCCATTCATTGCATGAGCAGAACAACTTCCACTCACACAATGGAACTTCCTCTCCCTCTCCTCCCAACCTTGTGTCTCCTGCCCCCCCCTCCAAAAATCTGCTCCAGAGGGCTGGGGTACACACACCCCAAGTAGATTGGGAGGTGAAGGTGGCAAGGAGGTGAGTTTGTTGTATGACAGGAAGCCATTCCGCTTACAGTGACGTAGTTGATCCAACATAAAACATTGTGACTAAATCGTTATTGGGTTGTTGTTGTTTTTTTGCAGGGGCTGCTTGGGGGGGGGGAGCGTTGGTAAATTGGTTGAACAATAAAAGGGAAATTCCCTGGGTGCCTAGATCCAGGTTTGGGGCAGAGATTTAAAATCACAAAACCAGTTTCCACCACACAAAAGAAGTTCCAGTGCAACAATAAGCATAATAGATAATACTCAGCCATTCTGAACTTTATTGTGCAAGTATGGCAGAAGATGTAAGTTACAGAAAATAAGCTGGGATGGCCCTAAATAAATCACATTAGGCTTTTTGTGAAAATGTAAGAAAAGAGAAAAGTCACAGTATTGGCTCTGGATGTGCTTGTAAAATTCAGCTCAGGGCTTCGAGTTAATTGTCCTTACTACATTTCCTTTCCACCTCTTCAGATTAATTGATAGTTTTCAAAATCAGCTCATAGTTTCACATAAATCAAATCCAATTTAAATTTTCCATTTGATTGCACTCCATTATATTACCTTTTGTGGATAGACAAGCAAAACAAGAATATGATCTGCATGATATTTCTGTAATAAATTATCCAAACCTTTGTGCTCTGGATCATTGCCTTTTTCATACTTTTCACTCTTCTGTGTTTATTGACTTAAATTAGATCTGATTACTTTTTACTATGTAAAAAGTAATAAAGCCAGCAAGAAAGCACTCAAGTATATAATAACTTGTCTTCATAATGCAACCAAAGCTAGAATTGGATTTCCAATTTATAAGAGCTGCTTAGGCTGTTGCCAGAAGCCTTTGCCCAAGTCACCTGCGAAGGAGGAAATGATATAATGCTGTGCAACAATCTCAGGCAGTCAATAAAAAAAAAGTAGGCTAAAATCCATTTTCTACAATTCCCCCTTTTAATCCGAATGACATGACTTCAGAGCAAGAGGATGCCATCACATGATGGAAAGAAGCTGCCCATCCTAGCACATCTAAGTATTGCAGAAACTGACTTGCAGTGGCTTACCAGTATTGCAGACAGCAGTCTCCCCAATGACTTGCTTGTAGATACCAGAGACTGAGTTGGGGTGGGGCGGGGAATGCAAAGCATGCACTCTTTCATTGAGCTATGCCCTTTCTCCAAGAGCACTGTCCATGAGAAGTCCACTGCGCATACCATGTTATAGTAAGAGCCTGCTACAAAGCTTCCCTTACTGAGAGCTAGCTTTAATAACAGTGTCTTTACTCTGGAAAAGGATGGGCAAATCTTGAAAAAAAAAATTTCCCCTTTTTCTTTTGGAAGGGTTCAACTTTGCTCTTGACTCAGCAGCAGAGAATGTAAACAAAACCAGTAGTGTTTAGTCAGCTGTTAGGTAATAATATACTGTTGAACTTGGGTGTAGGATTACACAGCAGGGTATATACAGAAGTTACTATTTTATAAGAAGAGAAATCCTAACTGTTTTCAGTAGAGGAGAAAGAGCAAAACAGGGGATTTATACTCATGTCATTGGAGCATCAAGTTAAGAGCGCTGGTAAACATAAATGATAGGGCATGGATAACAATGACAATAAACAGTCCTGCCTTTTAAGTGTTTGTTAATAAGTACAAATTATTCACAGGGGAATACTTTGGGGGGTGGGGTGGGGGTTAGCCAGAAGATTTTGTTAACGCCATCACCAGTTGACAGAGACTGATACAAAAGATTCTGAAACGTTATCCTCTGCTGTCAGATTATGTAAGGATTGTCAGATTATAATCAGATGCTAAAATGCAACTCTCTGGTGCTATGGTCTATGGGCCACACTGAGAAACACAAAAAAATTAACTATATGAGCTGCTGTGGAAACCTTTTAGAGATGTACAGGAGCAAATCTACACAAACATATATAGGAGCTGCAACCCCAAATTTACTAATCCTCAACACCCCACTGTCCCAAGGTGCCTGGTTTTACATATTTCCATACTTCTAGCTGTCATCAACATGATCCTCCAAAACTGCATTTATTTCAGCCCTTCGGATAGAGGTGAACACCTGCAAACCATGGTTTATCATTCTAGAAACAAGCTGTTCACCCTCTCACTCTCTCCATGCTTTTCAGCTCACTTCTTCTTTCTTGCACCCAACTTCAACAACTTTCTTGCACCCAATGCCTCATGATGTCTGAACCTAGAAACTGTGGTTTAAAGGTTCCCTACAAACGAGAATATGAAACAGAGAATCAAAACAGCACAATCCACCTAAAAGGTATCGAGGTATCAGTAGAGTTTGAGGAATGTCCCCTTCACACACCCTTCCCCTCCAATCAAATCAGCCCAGTGAGGATTAAATGTGCTCAGTGGAACAGAGATTACCAACTGATGGGGAGCGGGGAGGAAAATCGTGAAGAGATCCTGAACAGGAGCTTTATACATTGCAACATTTTGCTGCAGACCCCACATGTAGACATTCTAATAATCAAATGTAGGCTGGGGAAGACTCTGTGGCCGCAGTGCCACTCCCCAGCCACAATGTTCATTCCACTCTTATCAGAAATTTGTAGGGGGCTATCAGTGGCGGACTTTTTTGGGGGGGGGACTGAAGCTTGAACTGTCATGGGGGCTCCTGCACAACCAGCAATGAAGTCTGAGTAACCACTGTTGTCTTCGTTAATGGGGTTGTTCCATGACAGATCACCACACTTTTACATCTGTACTACTTACTGACTCTCAAATTTTGGGATTGTTGAAATATATACACACAAAAATAATCAATTTGAGTTGTGCAACTTAAATTGGGTCTACTAGTCCCTTGAAAAAAAAAGCAGCAATGTGAACTGCAGTCACTTTTGGGGCCCCTTTGAGATCAAGGGCCCTATCATTCCACCAGCAATTGAGATTCTGCATTTCCACATATCATTCATAAATTATTTCAAGATTGGTGTGATTCACTCAAACTACTTTTGGGGCTCAAACTTTAAAGCCAGTGAACATTTAAAAAAAATAAATCTATTTTGCCCTTGCCATTCTTTTCTGACTAAGTGACTGAACTGCCATTCAGACAGCACTTCAGTTAGGCAGTTCAATAAAATTTCAAATCAGATAAATCTGGTAGATTGGAGGTTCTCTTGCTGGACAAAAAGGAAGTTATCTACAGTCATGCTAGTTCTTTACTTTTCAAAGAAGCCTTGTGCCTTTGAAGCAGAAGGTGCTGCCTGTGAATTCTCTATCAAGTGGAATGATGTGGTATTGATTATCTAAATTCTTCACATAAAATTTTTCAAAAGCTTACCTATTATGTCATCTCTCCAGTGTTGTGAGAAAGGTTGCTTTGATTTTCATCACTGGGGAAGTACCTTTCTGAGTTCAATGAAAACCTCAGTAGATAAAGTAATTTCTCAGTTTTTAGCACTATACATATCTGGCCGTAATGCAATGTTCTGATTGCAAGAACTTTCACAAAATAAGGTACATGGGGTACAATCCAACTACTGTTATGGACTGCCCAGTTGCACTGCATGTGTTGGATGTACACACAGTAACAACGGTTTGGACCATACTACTAACAGCATTGGAACGCGGGTGGCGCTGTGGTCTAAACCACTGAGCCTAGGGCTTACTGATCAGAAGGTCGGTGGTTCGAATCCCCACGACAGGGTGAGCTCCCGTTGCTCGGTCCCTGCTCCTAACCAACCTAGCAGTTTGAAGGCTCCGGCGGGAAGGTAAACGGCATTTCCGTGCGCTGCTCAGGTTCGCCAGAAGCAGCTTAGTCATGCTGGCCACATGACCCGGAAGCTGTACGCCAGCTCCCTCGGCCAATAAAGCGAGATGAGCGCCACAACCCCAGAGTCGTCTGCGATTGGACCTAACAGTCAGGGGTCCCTTTACCTTTACTAACAGCATCTATTGCTCAAAATGAAAAAGACATATTTACAGTATCGTTCTTGACACCCCAATAGCCATCCACACTATAACTAAGGAAGCACACAGTATGGCATCCAATAGTGTCAAGAACTATTGACCACTGCCCCATCTGGTGAGTTGCATCACCACAGCTTCTCAGTGAACAACGTTCCAGACTGACTCCACTCAGGCTGGCCATTGATTCCTCCTGGATGGAGCACAAGGGGGCTTCCTGTTTCAGTGGAACTTGAGACAAAAAAATCCTACCTGAGCTCCAGTGTCTCTTGATCATAATTGCTCTTTGTCCCCCACCTCCTGGTTCCTGGCTGACTCCAAACTGCTCCAAACACACAACTCAAATCTAATGAATTGTTCAACAGCGTTGTTTTTAAGCGAGAAAGAAAAGCATGGAGAAGAAGGGAAGTCCAAAATGGCGATAATAGATTACAAGGAAATGGGCAGCGAAACATCCATTTGCTACATTAGGGAAAGCTGATTGCACTCATGGGAGGTTCCTCAATGCAACTGCAGTCCTGTGCAATTGAGGTTCCAGCTCATGAGGAAGAATCTCCATGAGCACAGCCAGTTATTCTTTCAGAACTTTGCCGAAGATACAATGATAGGAGATGGAGCACAGCTTCCATTTAGTCAAATGGACGGACACCCTTTCATATGATGAATGTGTGAAGTGGTTTATAGCTTCTCTTCATTTAAATAAATGCAGGTAGGTTGGCAGGGAGTCTCCTAATATGACACTCTTCTTCCACCACCATGAACATTTGTCCTACCCAAACAGAATGTTTTTAAGGGAGTTTGGTCTCTCCTTCCTGTTTCATTTCCTAATCTTGCCACAAATTGCTGATCTAATCATATAGCTAGCCAACTGCAAAGTGTTTCGTAGCTGATGAAGGGAGTTGCAGCCTGGTAATAGTGAATACAGTAAAGTTAATCAGTAGATAGACGAGGTGATATGCAACACGGAAACAAAAGAAAACATCATATCATAGGACTGCACACCCAGATTATTACAGACACAAGATGGAATAAGAATGTATAATGGGAAGTGTTGGAGAGATCAAGCAGCAAAGGAGGAGGATGGGGAGAAATTAGTGTCGGTTTGCACTTCAATGCAAAATTTATATGCTCTGCAACAAAATGAAATCAAAATGCAGCTACCCTACAAAATTCGCACTTCCCCAAATTTTACTAAGCACTTCTCCAAGCAAAGTAAGTGGGCATGAACATGCATATATTACTGAAAATGCATGCAAAAATGTGTATATTAGAAGAATATGTGCACTGAAATGATGACAAATTCTTGTGATGACATTTTAAAAAATTGCAAACTGGTGCAGAAATGTGGTAAACTGAATTTAAGATTGGAAAAATGAGAAACTGAGAAAATCCAAGGACAGATTCATCCAACCTTTGTTACTCCACATATTTATGAGACAGAAGGGGGCAGTGGATGACTGTGCAGAAAAAATATGCTTTCCTTGCTGAATCTCACACCTGTTCCTCAACTAATGGAAAACAACTAGTGGATATGCAATACCTTGGAGTATCACAAGCAACACACCAAAAATAATGTAGAGTATGCTGAATGGTTCATAGTTTGTACATTTAGAAGAAGAAGAAGAGTTTGGATTTGATATCCCGCCTTTCACTCCCTTTAAGGAGTCTCAAAGTGGCTAACATTCTCCTTTCCCTTCCTCCCCGACAACAAACACTCTGTGAGGTGAGTGGGGCTGAGAGACTTCAAAGAAGTATGACTGGCCCATGGTCACCCAGCAGCTGCATGTGGAGGAGCGGAGACGCGAACCCGGTTCGCCAGATTACGAGACTACCGCTCTTAACCACTACACCACACTGTTTGCTGCTGTTTCTATTAATTGTAGATTATGATATATTACTTGAAGATAATTAGATAAAGGGGGAAGATATAATGATATTAGTTAGTGTCACTTATGCAGAACAGAACCTTGGCAAACTGCAACAGACTGTTTATGACATATTATCTGGAACTCTGATAGTTCTATTACGATTAATAAACTGTTGAAATCACAACATACTGTTAAAACAACCACAAAATGATCTTCCACAACACATCACCAATCTTTACCACATTTATATATGAAGCAGCCATTTTTATGTTTCACAGACTTACCCCCTCAAATTTCCCTTACCTCTTCAGACTCAGGTTGTCACATATCAAAGTAAATTGGTAGTGCTCAAATCAATCCAAACCAGTAAGATATTAAAATGGAGGCCTGCTTATCTTGAAGCGAGCTCTCTGTGTTTAGTTTAGCAGACACTTTACATTAAAATATTT